GGGGGTGTCAGTACGTGTGTAAGTATGCCTAAGTGTCTATGCCCTGACGAAGGCCAATGCACGTGCGAGAGGAAGGCGTACACCCTCTTGGCCATCTGTTTGATTGCCTCTATGATGTCTTCAGAATTTAAAAAGCAACAACAACAACAAAAACCAACCTAAACTGTTCGTTAAGCCAGTCCTGTGATCAAACGCTTCCACGCCAGAGTTGGTATACAGTGGGGATTACTCAGTCAGCAGAGATGACGGGCGGGCACGGAAGCATGGCGAGAGAGAGAGAGAGAGAAATACATAATTGCCTTTTTGTGTCGTTGTTTTTGTTGTTGGTGGTGGTGTTTTTGTTGGTGAAGTTGTTGTTGTTGGTGGTGGTGCAGTAGTAGTAGTAGTTGTTGTTGTTAGTGGTGATGGTGATGATGCAGTTGTTGTTGTTGTTGTTGTTGTTGTTGTTTTTGTTGCTGTTGTTGTTTGTTATTGTTGTTGTTTGCTGTGTTGGTAGCCTGTGGGATGACAGGTGAGCAGGGAGCATCTCGATACAGAAAATTCGTTTTTCTTTTAAAGTTGTTGTTGGTGGTGTTGGTGGTGTTGGTGGTGTTGTTGGTGTTGTTGTTATTGCTGCTGCCCTTGCTGCTGCCGATTGCGCTGTTGTTGTGTTTGTTGTTATTGTTATTGTTGTTGATGTTGTCGTTTTCGTCGTCGCCTTTGTTGTCGTCAGCCTGAAGAAATGAGAATCAAACTCAGCTGGAGCAGGTCGATAGTAAAAATGTGATTGTTTTTTTCTGGGTTTATTTCTGTTGCTGTTGTTGTTGTTGTCTCCGTCGCCTTTGTTGTTGTTAGTATTATTGTTGTTGCAGTTATATGTTGTTGTCGTTGTTGACATTAGTATGTTGGCCTTGATGTTAGGAAAGGCCATGATGATAGTATATGTGATATTGATGATTAATACGCTAAGAGTTGTAAAGTTGGTACTGCGCAGCTTATTGTTGAGGCTATCATCTTGTACTTAATATCATTATTGTTCTTACTTATTTTTGGTAATTATTGTCATTGCAGTTGCTGTTATTGCAATGTTAATAAACAATTATAGACAAATGATAAATTCCTAAACCAGGTGATACAATGTTCGCTTACAGAAAAACCCACATTCTGTCCGCGACCTCATACCCCCCCAACCCCCAACCCCCAACCCCACTCCAACCACCTCCCAAAGTCGTGCCTTTAATGTTCATCCAAAGCAAAATAAATACATTAAATTAATATCACGTATTTCTATTTCTTGACTCAAATTCCTACATGAAGTTCCTCGCAGCCCAAATGTCGTGTCTCTTTATTTCCGAACCCACATTTAGGAGACCTTTCTTACCTCGAGGGCAGAAACCAAATGTCAAAGCTTCTTTGTTCTATGTCATTCGATAAATACATTTTTGTGAGGGATGACATTCTCTGCGTGTGAACTTTGCGGCCAGGTCAAAGAATAAAGTACGGAGCCAATGGTGAAATGGTTAGGCTTATTGTCGTTGTAGGCTGACGACGTGAGTTCGATTCTTGAGTGAAAAATGGTATAGGTTTAACGCCCCTATCAACTCTATTAGGTTATTTAAGGGGCGGGACCCCCTAGTTTAACGTCCGTCTCCGATAGGACCGAGCCAAGTGGGAAGTTCGTGTAAAGTGCCTTTCCCAAGGACACAACGTCGGACCGAGCTGAGGCTCGAACCCCCGAACTCGCAATCTCACGATTACGAGTCCGGTAGCCTAACCACTAGGCTACCGACGCCACCCGATTCTTGAGTGAAAATGTGCCTATTTGTACAGTCTTTTTACCGGGGAAGTTACAAAAATGATTTTAAAGAACACCACCACAAGTCTGATGGGATTTGGTATCTTATTAATCCGGATTGGCCAGGACAAGCCGGATCGAAGAAGCCCATCTCACAAAAAAATACAATAATATGAATTGTGATGATACAATGTAGAACAATATAAAAACCAATTCACTTTATGATTTGAAAAAAGAGACACACGGAATAGAGCAATTCACGAACGTATGCAAGCCAGCAAACAAGTCTACAGAGACAGTATTGAAGTCATTTAAGGCAAATGTACTCGCCTCTCTATCTAGAATTTAGAACTCTTTCACTATGTTGTATCATCATTTAGATTTGAGAGTCTAAAAAACTTTTTAAATTTGTATGATTTTTTCGATTTTGACTGAGCTGTCAACTCTTTAAAGTTATTCTAATACTATCATTTATAAAAATTGGAAAAAACTTTGCACTGTTTACAGTTAAATCATTATATGGAACGGGTTATAAGCCGTCTAAAATAACACTATCATTGAGCTTTGGAAATAGTTCAAAACCATTGACATTTCTACGTTCATATAAAAATGTTGTGATAAATGTTAAAACATATTTTAAGTTATGTCATCATTTGCATTTAAAACTGAAGGTATGTTAATGACACACCCACATATACAGTCGTGTATTACAGAAAATTGGCACAGCGTTATTAACAAAAAGTCGTTCAACATCCGTAAACAATAACGTGTGCTGCTACAGTCCTTCCCTTGTGTGTTTTTTTTTTTTTTCTTGTAGTTGTTGCCCTAATAGTTGTTGATGTTATTGTTTTTGTTATTGCTGCTGTTTGGTTTGTTCTTGTTCTTGTTCTTTTTCTTGTTCATTTTCTTGTTCTTGTTCTTGTTCTTGTTCTTGTTCTTGTTCTTCTTTTTCTTTCGCCATCGCCACCTTCCTTGTTTCATTATTATTCTGTTCTGTTTTGCTTTCTTACCTTTTATCTTGACTTTCTCCCTAACTGTGCAGCACACATGGTCTTGCGCCTGTAATAAACATTCCATTGATGTTAATTTCTTTTTCTCTACAATCGCACGCTTTGATGAGGGTTTCTCTCACGTCCTGTCTCTGTCAGCTCTACTTTTTTCATCTGGGAGAAAGCCAACAGTGAAAAGAATACGGCGAAAGATACAAGAAACATAAAGGGATTGATAGCTTTATTTTAAAAGCTTTGAGTTTGTTTTTGCTTTTGTTACTACCTTACATGTATGTTGACATTCACTAGTAATGACTGCGGCGTCTGTAGCATAGTGGTTAGGCTACCGAACTCATAATCGTGAGATTGCGGGTTCGTGGGTTCGAGCCTCAGCTCGGTCCGACGTTGTGTCCTTGGGAAAGGCACTTTACACGAACTTTCCACTTGGCTCGGTCCTTTCGGAGACGGACGTTAAACTAGAAGGCCCCGCCTCTTAAATAACCTAATAGTGTTGATAGGGGCGTTAAACCCATACCATTTCACCAATTTTTAGTAATGACTGCGTTGTTGTGGCCATGTCGTCGTTTATCTCCCTTCATTTTTGCTCTCTACTTCTGCCTCGTTATCTTACTCTTTCTCTTCCTCCCTTTCCCACTTACTTCTCTTGTCATTTCTCTCTTTCTCCTTCTCTCCCTTCTTTCCTTTCTCTCTCTCTCTCTCTCTCTCTCTCTCTCTCTCTCTCTCTCTCTCTCTCTCTCTCTCTCTCTCTCTCTCTTTTCTCTCTCTCTCTATTTTAAAACATCTTTTTTTTCTATCTCCTCCATTTTTATAACATTCACGTCCTCCCACCTCGTTTTAATATACACACACACACCCCTCCAATCACCCACACCCATACATACAATTGTCTTCTCGTGTCTCTCGATCACAATAATGGCAAGACACGCCGTCTGTCTTCTGGGGCTCAAAATGGCTTTTGGGTTGTTGGCGGGGGCTCTGTCGTAGTTTGTTCATACTTTCCCATCTAGCAATATTATTATAGTTGTTATCTTTGTGCCTTCCTTTCTTCGTGTGTTACTCGTTGGTAACACTTCTGATCTTCGCCAGTTATATTATTAAAACCAAATTGTGCTGCAAGTGCCATAAAACTAATATGCTGAAACAAAGCAAAAACTAAACACCATGCTGTAGTCGTAGCAAATCTAACCTGATATTCTGAAGCTCTTGTTTTGTTTTTTTGACAGTGTTTTTTTTTGTTTTTGTTTTGCGGTTTTTGGGTTTTGTTTGTTTGTTTTTTTAAATATTTTGAGATGTTCCCTTTTCGACATTACGTCATAGAAAGAACCCCGAACCATATCAGGGATGTATAACACTGTCATTCCTCCATGTGGGCCTACCCGTTTCTATAATGTAGCTGTTAGACTCTTGGCGCTTGCTAGTACAAGCCGCTGGTTCGATTCCTATGTACGGAAGTTGTTCCATTTCTGTATATAAAATACCCGTCTGCCTGCTGAAATGCTGCATCAATTAACATTGTGACTTGTTTTATTTTTTCAGAGTTTGAAAAACACCCGTCCTCCTCACCCCTGTTTTAGTCCTACGAGGATAACCATACCCTGTCAGATGGGACTATCTAAGGTAAGAATCATAAGTTTTAGTATGTGGCCTTTTCGCTGGCGCAAACCATTGATCGATTGACAACAAGCATGAAACTAATTCCTAACCCCAAGCAAATGCATCATAACTATAATCAGTACTCTATGTCGATAGCATGACATTTTTAATAGTCTTACTTTGGTGTTGCATTTATCTTATAACAAGCAGGTTAAATAGCAGAGGAGCTACAAGGAAGTTTGGGACGCACAAAAATGGATTGTCAAAGCTAGCAGTGTACAAATATGGAACAACCTTCCGTGATCCAATAATTAGAGTTTGTAAATCCTTCGTTATATTTGTGGTAGCAAAGCTAATCTGTCAAAGTCGTTATACGGAACACTTGTGATATCTGTAAACAAGTAAAAATAGTTAAAGGAAGAGGTGTTTAAAAAGACCCGCGAAATGCCACCAGAGAGGTGATGCCACTGGACAATTGATTTTACGTCACAGTGGAGATTGCATGTAAATAAAGAAAACAATCTCTCCCTCTCTCTCTCTCTCTTTCTCTCTGTCTATCTGTCTGTCTGTCTGTCTGTCTTGTCTGTCTGTCTGTCTGTCTGTCTCTCTCTCTCCCTCTCTCTCTCTCTCTCTCTCTCTCTCTCTCTCTCTCTCTCTCTCTCTCTC